GGGAAGTTGTGGTGCGGCTGAGAATGGGTGCGGGAAGCTGATGGAAACTGGAATGCTCTTGCTCACTGTGTTCGGTGTGTTGGTGCCAATGACGCCACTATCACAGTCCACGTCGGCTGCCTACCTACAACGAAAATAAGTGACGCACTCGCGGCCCATACTCCGGCCCAAAACACCCCAGGGCTTTTCAGTTCGCCTTATCAACTTTGGACAACACCACAGGCTTCCAAGGCGGAGAAAACCTTTCAGACCGACCAAAACTAAATTGAAATCCAAACATCCGATATGCGCCGCCTTTCCATCGAATTCCCTTTTAAACGACCGGTAAATCCGTAGGTAAGGTACCTAAGTAAGCTGGTGTTCAGCCGGTTGAGGACCGCGAGGTGCTTTCCGAACAGTGTGGGAATCTGGGTTCTCTGTAGGGAATAGACTATGTGTCAATTGGTAGTACTGGCCCAGCCGGAGCTGGGCCAGGTCATCTATCTATTTATTCTGTTTCCTTTGTTCTGAATGCCTTCATCTTCCTGACTCAGTTGCCTGCAAGTAAATAAATAGTCTAAGATGTCTTGCATCTACATCACTAGCGGTCTTTGCCCATCAGGGTGCCTAAATCTTCACAAACAGCACACCCGCAACGCCGCTAACGTCGTCCGGCGCGAATCCGACCATCACGACCACAGCGCTACCGAGCCGGCCCTCAAGGCCGAGGCCGGCCAGCTCCGAGATGAGCGCATCGTAGCCTTCACGAGAAAACCACCCCAGATGCTAGCCATTTCGACCCCGAGAATAATACAGTGCCGCGCCTCGTTACCTTCAGATACATGTCGCCGTTTAAGTGTAAAACTGTCAAAGCTTCTCTCCCAGTCTCGCAGCAGACAGATACGTCGTGTAATAAGCACCACAGTGCGTTCACCGCATCCCTGAAAAAATGGGGGAGTTGGGATCTGCCAGTTCCTGACTACCTCTTGACCGGAAATCGACCAGATCATATATACCTAGTACCTAGTAACCAGAAAATGGATAGGGACAGGATAGCAAAGGTAGTTCCAGATGATAACTTATCCGAGACGAAAAAAACCACTCGTCCACGTCGCCGCATATGCCTTCGGGGGTAGATAATACGTCGACCTCACCGCTTCCACAATCAAATACACTCGCGGAACCTTGTAAATAACCACCACCACCAACGTAACCACCAAAAACAACTTGGACCCCCAGTCCCGTCGAAAAACCTTCTTCCCCGTCCCGCTCCTCGTCTCAAAAACCTCCCACCCCGCCACCGTCTTCATCCCAACCAGCAACAACAACCAGCACAGCGGCAACCCAGTAACCAAAACAGCAGAAACCCTCCAAAGTAACCTCTCCAGCACACTGGGAAACGCCAAATCCCACGCAGCCAAATGCACCGCCCCAAACACAACCAGCGCGACGCCCGTCCCGACAGAAGTCACGAACCCCGCGCCGGGCTGCATCGCCGCGGTAAAGTCGGGGATAGCATACTCGCCCGGCCGCCCACCAAGAACCAAATACCCCCGCCTCGAAATCCTCTCCATCTCCTCGAGAGACGCCGCACTCCGCTTCGCGTGAATCACCGTCGGCACCCCGACGCCCTGCGGCTGCGGGAGCAGGACGGGATAGCTAAACAGCGCGCAGCACGCGAACGCGAGCGCCATGACCTCGACCTGCGACGCGGGGATGCGCGCCGCCGCGCGCCGGGCGAGGTCGACGGCGAGCAGACCAACCTTGAGCATAGCGACGGTCTTGACGAGCGCGTCGTCCTTGGACTTGTCGTGGATTTCGGACGCGGCGAGAGTAAACGGGAGGCTGATCAGGCCGAGGCGGTGGGCTTCGAGTACCTAGCTGGAGGGGCGTGACGGCCCAGACGGTGCCGATTAGCGTGCGGAGGACCTTGTGCTCGTTGGCGCGCGGGTTCGTCGGAGGGACGGACGAGAGGAGGGTCTGGGCGAGGGCGCAGTGGGCTGGGTGGACGTCCCAGTCGAGGTGGCCTCGGAGTCGGTGGTACCGCTTGTTGTGGTGGGCGAAGTCGTCGAGCCATTTTCGTACTGCTCCTCCTTTGTTGCCTTCTTCAGGTTGTCTCTCGTCCGCTGGTGGGGGAGATGGCGCGGGCGGAGACGGAAACCGGATGACGAAACCACCCATGTTGGCGTACATCGAGTGTGTCAGCGTCCATTTTGATTCACTCCCTTCCCGCTGCATAGCCTCGTTGATCGCCCTTGCGCTCTCTCGCGCGCCGAGATAGCTTTCTAGAGCGCAGCCGAGGACCAGCTCCGGGAGTAGCATGGTCATGATGGTCCATTTGGCCTTGCGCTGGACCTCGTACAGGGTCCGGCCCAGCTTGGTGAGGTAGCGACGCCATCGGTTTGAGTGCTGCTCGTCGCGGAGTTGGGCGGGCACGTTGAGACGGAGGATCGACCAGGTGCAGAGGAAGATGACGGCGAAAGAGCTCCGGAGGATGTCCCATGTTGAACGGATGTCTGGGTCCTGCACGAGGGAAGGACCAGTTGGTAAGGTACATGTGGGGACGAAGGTGATCATCTTGCTGCCGCGAGTCGCGACGTGACAATACTCATCGGCATGGTAAGACTCCTAACTTTGATGCGAATATACCTTCTCCGCCGTATTTATCTGGTAGATCATGGAGGGGAGGGAAAGGGGCACAGCAGGGAAAGCGGCAACGATATCGCCATGATTGGCTTGTGATACGCCAATCATCTTCACCGTGTTCTGTGGTTTCAAGTATTGGATGTGTCAAAGTCAGCCGCTCTCTTCGGCGATCAGGATGGCTCCCCGCAGAAGGCTGTCGCCAAAGAAAGATATACCGCAGCGCAATATCTCGTAAAAATGCCAGAATAAAACCCAGAAGCAATAACTCGACGCGCGTAGCCCTTCTTTTCAACATGTCCATTTCTTAGGGAGTGCAGATCACCGATTTCAAGACTTGTACTCCCCCTTGGCAACCCGCTCGCACACTGTTTTCAGTGTCTCCCCAGCCCATTCAAAATCATCCATCCCCAAAAACACCTGCGCGCTGATCCTCGCCCAGAACCTTCCGCGATATGTAAATAGCGGCACAAAAGTGTTGAACTCGTCCATCAGCGTGTTGAGCATCCACCGTTCAACCTTGGCCACATCCTCCGCTGGAACCACAGGAACACCGTCGAGATCCTCATCTCTCGGCTTTACGTCCCGGTCGCTCGCCTCGACAGTAATCGGCAGCGCAACATTGACCATAGCACACCTTGTCAGCGTCCCCGCCCCGTTATCCAGAATCTTGGTCCCTAAAATCGCCGCCGCCTTTTTCCCGCCCTCGCGCGCCAAATTCTCAGTATACCCCAAAATCCGCTCCTCCCCACCAAGCACCTCCTCCCGCCATCGAATACTATCCTTCACACACAGATATGGCGCGTTATCCATCGTCCCGACAAACTCAAACGCCGTGACGAAAGCAGACTTGTCACTCGGCGGCAGCGGGTTGAGCCGCGGCGGGTCGCCGTTCTCCAGCGGCACGAAGCCGTGCGAGGTCGGCAGCGTCGAGCGGAGCATGGCCTGGTTGCGCAGCGGCACGTACAGCACGGCGCACCCGCGCGGGACGTGCAGCCACTTGTGGCAGTTACTCACGAAGAAGTCCGGGTCGACACTTGCCAGGTGGTCGAGGCGGATCATTCCGATGCCCTGGGCGCCGTCGATAAGTGACAGGACGCCGAGCTCGCGGCAGGCGGCGGTGATGAGCTCAAAGGGGAAGCGCACGCCGGGGAGGGACGAGACCGCGTCGAATATGCATATGCGCGGGCGTTTACCCTCATCCCTGGCTGTGGCTACGGCGGTCCGGAAGGCGGTTTCGATCTCGTCGTCCTCGATGGGATAGAGCAGGGGGATGCGCCGCGAGGACACGCGACCGTAGGTGCTCTCGACAATGTAGTCGACTGTCTTGCCGCAGCCGCCGTAGATGGTGTCGAAATACAAGATTTCGTCATTGGAATCGTCGGCCCAGACGATGTTGCGGAGGACCGTGTTGACGCCGATCGTGGCGTTGCTCACGAACACGCACGTGTCGGTGGGCACGTTGAGCAGGGCGGCCACGGCGGCGCGCGACTCGTCGAGCAGCTTGGGGAAGTCGTAGCGGATGAAGGGGTCCGGGCGGGCTTCGGACTGGTCTTGGTAGGCGCGCTGCTTGGCTTGGATGGCGGCCGGGATGGTTCCGAAGGAGCCTGGATGACATGTCAGTATCGATTCTGCTGATCTGAGAATGACTGACCTTGGTTGAGATTGCGGTATGCGGGGTCCATCAGGAAGTCGCTGGCGAGCTTCTTCCCGAACGTGACGACTCCATCGCTGGCTTGTGAGTCCTTTGTTCGGACTGCAAGGTCCTGAATCTCGCCCATCGTATTGGTGGTGTTTTACAGGGAAAGGGCCAATGCGAAGAAAACAACTGATAGGTGTCGAGCTGAGGGATGGTTGAGTTCAAAAGCAAGCGCCACCGAGTCACCGACTCCATTCAGAACCCGCTTTGTCGTGGAGCCGTGGAATGCTTGTTATGTATTGGACAATTTGGAGTATCGACAACCCCGCATCCCGCCATCTGGTGTCCAGGAACCGTCACCAGTGTGATCCAATCTCTCCGTATCGTTTCACTGCATCCGCTTGATCGTGTCGCGCGGAGGGCGCGCTCTGGCTGTCCGACATGCGCCGGCCAAGACCGGCAGACGCCATCGTGACATTTGAAAGCCGGCGCAAGCCGATCATGCGGGCGGGACTGTTCCGATAACGGCCAATATCCACTTAGGAAAAAGGCTAGGTTAGTTGAGCAATTCGACCATCGGACGGGCTGTATTTGCTGGTCTCTAGTCTAAAGAATCCTCTTGGTAATGTGAGTCACTGGCGGTAGTCTCCGGTAACCATCTTATTCGGAAGCAAGCCAAGCCAAGCTAAACAGGTAGCTATATGGTACAATTGTGGACACCCGAATATGAACCAAAGAAGCACGAGTAGTTCAGAGGTTAGAATCCTTGCTTCCCATCTGCCGTTGGACTAGCAAGGGACCCGAGTTCGAATCTCGGCTCGTGCAGTTGTTAGTTTTTTGCTGATACTTTTGCCACTCGAGTTTGTTTCTCGGGTTTTGCCGACACCCTCAAAAGACTTGTTTTTAGATACAACCTTCTGTTTCACATGTCGCTGGTTGGGGGGCTGTCATCACTGCCACCTCCTGGACAGGGGACCTAGGTACCTACTTTTGATCCTGTTTAATCCTGCGGCGGTCCGACATACGCGCTGGTCTTCAGAACTTGACAGTTTTAGTGTTGTGAGAGCTGGGATGAAGTCATGAGATACAGCATCTAATTCCCGTGAGCTTTTCTTTTGTCTCCTCGCAATGGTCGTTCATAATCTCCTTCCCGGGCTACAATTTTACTTGGCATTATTCGTATTCGTATCCGACTATTATTGGATGAGCACTGGACTGAATCCACCCGTAGTAAGACAAACCCCTGTGTTAATGAATCCTTCCGGACGGATTTGCGCTCCCCTGAAAAGAAAGATAAGCCGTAACCATTGCCGGTCAAATTTTGATTTAAACTTTTTCAAGACAACATCTCCCGTCACCCACGCCGTCCGCATCAGACACCACCCCCCCAAAAAACCGCCAAGATGGCCCCCGAAGCCACCCCGTCCCCGCCAAAGCGCGAAATGAAAGTCCTCTGCCTAGGCCTCTTCCGCACCGGCTCGTACAGCATGTACACCGCCCTCACAACCCTCGGCTACGCCAACGTCTACCACGGGCTCAACTCCCTCGGCGTCAACGACGACTGGGTGATCCTCAACGCCGCCGCCGACGCTACATTCCCCTCCCTTCCCACCTATCGCGGGCCTGAGAAACCCTTTTCCCGCGCAGAATGGGACGCCATCTTTGGATCGTGCGAGGCCGTGACCGACGTTGCTTCGGTGTTTGGACCTGCGCTGATTGATGCCTATCCGGATGCAAGGGTCGTTCTGGTCGAGCGCGACTTTGACAAGTGGTATAAATCCGTGGTCGAGGGGGTGGTCGACTCGCTGTTCGGGACTGTGCCGGACTTTTTTGTGAATACCGTCGAGCCGATGATTGGGTCTGTCGCGGGCCCGACGAATCGCAAGATGTTGCTTGGGTGGGCCGGGGCGAGGGATGGGGTGGAGTTGAGGAGGCGGGAGACGCTACGGGCCGCGTGGGAGAGGCATCATCGGGAGATTAGGGAGATGTGTGCTGGAAGGGAGGGGAAGTTGTTGGAGTATAGGATGGGGGATGGGTGGGAGCCGTTGTGCGAGTTTCTGGGGTGTGCGGTGCCGAGGGGCGGGGATGGAGAGGTGCTTCCGTTTCCGCATGCAAATGAGGCGGCGGCGCTGAGGAAGAAGATCGTGGGACAGCAGGTTGCTATGTTGAAGAAGTTGGGCCGGAAGATGGCGCCCTGGGTGGCTGCGGCGGGGGCAGTGGGTGTTGCCTGGTGGGCGCGGAGTCAGGGTTGGCTCTGAGTAGTATTTGGTATACCAGTGTATAGGTAGGTAGGATGCGTTTAATCTTGTTTGAGCGCAGCTGAGGTAGAGAGGTGAATGGAGCCACACAAAATTTGGGGTGCGAATGGAATTCACCGCATTGAAGCTAAACTCCTCTCTCGGTACATTGGTTTCCTAGTTACCAAGTTGCCAATGTGCTAGACGTTGAAGCTGGTTGGTTGGAGCAGGTGGCTGGGTGTCGTCGCTGGTTGGCTGTGGTTGGGTTCTTAGAATGACGGGCCCAAATGCCTTCCATCAGTTTGAGATGGGAGTACTTGTGCTGGTAAGGCTTGTTTTTGTCATCCTGCATCGACATGACATGTCGTCCGTAGGATTCCAGGTACTCGGCCGAAAGAACGCTCCACCGATTCACGGACGCACACCCCACCATCGTCGTGGCTAACCAGTCTGTAGGTGTCAAAGGCATCACCACCTAGTATTTTTAAACTCACATGGAAAACTGCCAACTTTTCAGCAGCTACAACTGAATTGCAGCTGCGGCCGAATTGCAGCTGCGTCCGAATTGCAGCTACGCCCGGAAGGCTACTTTGTGCTAGCTGTGAACTCTTTTTTAGCTTTCGTTATTGCAAACGATAACGCTATAGGCCAATCTGTTGGTAAAACCGCTGTCTCTAACACCGGCGTCTGCTCTCCGAAGGTGGCTGGGTACAGCGTTAGCTTCGATTGAGTCATTCCGTTCGTACGCGTATAAGTAGGTAAGGCCTTTCCTCCCATGAAACGTCTACGCTTGTCCCTGTCCATCCACAATCAACATAGGTCAACCCTTTCAGATATCCGTTATTGACAACATTGGCAAGCCTCGCCTGTGTGACCTCCCTGACGAGGTTCTCCTGCCTATCATGGGCCAAGCCGATAATGTCACCACACTGTGTCTGAGACGCACGAGCCGTGTTTTCTTCAGACTGTTTAAGGACAGTCGCTTTCAACATCTGCACGACAACTCGCGCGACATGCTACCCTTCAGATACCTCCAGCCAACGCCGTTAACTCGCGAGAAAGTCCCACAAGACGTCATGCCTGCGTTACGCTCACTTCTCCGGAAGGATCTTTTCTGCCAGAATTGCCGCGAGATGGACCCAGAGGCCGATATACGGCTCCGGACCCAGTTTTTATATTGTTCGGGATGCCGCGCTCAACACCCGGCCGTCCTGTTTTCGTGTCGGCAGCGCCACTACCCATCACAGAAACGTATTTGCATTGGCAGGGAGGGTTATGTCCATATTTGCGCCCACAAAGTGCTACAATGGGATGAGTTGGAGCCGTGGCTATCCGGAAAAGGGCCTACTTACCAGGAGTGGAAATGCACACACCCCTCCCACCAATACGACTCGGATAACGCTCGTTGCCCTGGTGATTTGGAGGGTCCAGGTATCCGAGTGTACTTGGGAGAGTACTGCGGGAAACCTTACTGCCGTGCCCTCCTCCCTAAACGGAAATCATCGCCCGAACCTACAATTTCAATACAGTCGGAGATACATATGAAGGTTTCGGGTTTAGGATTAACTCGGGCAGTCGATGGAGAGGGCGTATTGCGCCAAATAGAATGGCTTCGAACCCGAGGAGCAAAGAAGCTATATCCTACTCCTAGAGGAAAGTACCCCACCGAGCTCCAATTTTTCGATCCCAACGTGTGTACCTGTCTCTACTTTGACGACCCTCCGCCCGGCTGGGAGGTCAACCAAGAAGAGGCTAACACAAATGGCTTGTGCCCCGGCCACAAGCATCCTCGAGGTCCGGTGAGTGGTTGGGGTTATTCGGCTAGGATGAGCAAGTGGCGGAACAACATACCGAACAAGACGTCGATAGCCCCGTGCTGGCGGGGACATAGCCTGTCACGATGGCTAGCAACCGTGTGCGAGACCTCTCCTGAGTGTATCGTTGTCAAATATGAAAAGAGGCTAGCGCTGGGCCAGTGCCAGCAGTGCTGCGACCCTAAAGACGAAAAAAAGAACATGGTCTTGGCCCGGTATGGCCCGGCTGGCTGGCCATGATAGATCCGGTGTCTTACGGTCTTCGTGAAGACGAAGAAAGCTACGGGATCTACTGGTGCGACGATGAAGCATGTCACAACTTCCATTCACGTGGCGCAGGGACTCTCTGGAAAAGAGAGATGACATCGGCTGTCAACCCCTTCGAGAGAAAGAACAAGAGCAAGCTTTGGAAAAGCAGCCACAGGGGTAGGGATCTTCTTGCCAACCTTATGGGAGCGGCTAAGACTGGTTTCAGAAGATAGATCTGAGGGCATCTGATAGGGGCGAAGCCCCCAGCCGGATTTTGGGGGGTTCAGCGTCCATTCCACTTCCTGTATTCTACCGTTGAAGCAGCCAGAATGGGAGGTATTGCCATTCTCAGATACAGTGCCTGCGCTACCTGCAGCCACCTCGTCACACGGAAGGTCACCGCGTACAGGCCAGAATTACCTTCCACCTTCACTTTAATCAACCTTTATACAACCATAAAACATATCTAAATCTTACCCCGTCTCTCTTTTCCCACCCTATTCCCTATCCATTACCTCTAACCGTCTCCCCAACCAAGCATAATACCCTCTAAACATCCCAACCCTCAACCACCCCTCACAAAACCTCCTCAACGCAAGATACCTCTCCCTCACCACCACCTCCGCATCCCCCCTTCCCAGCTCCGTAACCCCCCTCCTAAACTTCGCCAAACAAACCGGACACAAATAAGGCGGCTGCCTCAAATCCTCCGCAACCCCCGCCGTGCTCTGCATAACACAAGCATAATACACACAATGATCCAAACACAAACAATGCCCCAGCTCATGACTAACCGTCCTCGCCAACCTCGCAAACCACACCCCCTCCATATCTTCTTCCTCCTCCTCAAACCCCACAACCGCGTCCACCGCCGCGCCCACAGGCCACCCCTTCGCTACCTCCCTATCCACCCCACCTTCCCCAGGATCCCCACACACCGAATCCACAAAAGCTTTACAATGCGCCGCAGGCCACCACCCATGCTCAGAAGAATTCAAAGAAATCCCACCCCCATCCCCATCAAGAAGCGGACAATACCTCGCGCAGGAAACCACCGCGACACGCGACTGTCCATACGCCCGCCCGCAGCAAAACACATCCTCCTCGTCCTCGTACAGATCCTGTCCCACCAGCATGACCAGGGCGTACGCATCACCCGGGAGCGCTTCGAGCGCGGCGTCGAGGATGTCGTCTAGATTCAGCTGGCCTCCTTGGAATACTTGGTCTGGACAGGGTCGTGTTCTGATTCTCGTTACTGTGTTGTTCCCGATTTTTAGGCCGATGTATTTTGACTTTGACTTTGAGCTTTTATTCCAGGGTTCGAAGGAGGGGGTGGTGGGGAGGGGGTGGACGGGGAGGGGGTGGTAGAATGCTTTTAGGTAGGAGATCACATCCTCCGTCTGCGGGGGTTTGAGCAGCCGATCTGCTGTTGTGGTCGCGGTGGTGGTGGTGGGGACGGTCTGTTCCTCGAGGTGGGAGAGGGAAGAAGAGATGGTGGGAAAGGGAGCGACGTAGATTGTTTGGC